GGCCTTGATGTGAGAAGAGGCAGCACAAGAATGCTGGCAGCAAGGTGCCACTGGAGAGGTAAACAATTCCTTACCAGAAAGATGGTAGTGCTGCCAGGTGTTCTGAAAGAGGAAGAGGCCATCAAGGAAAAAGACAAACTCCTGAGGGAAGCACAGGTGGAGATGGCACGAGAATGTCAGTTGCAAAGCATTGAGGTGAAGGTAAGAGACTTTCTGAAGACTGAGCTGGCATTGTTGTGAGGCACAGTAGAAAAGGTAAAGGCTGTAGCAGAGGAGGCACTCAGGGGAGGGGAGAGGAAGGTGCCCTCAGCCCCGGAAATGGAGGAGCTGGAGAAGGATGAAGGGGTGGTGCAGGAGGCACTGACCCCTCCTGTATTGAAAACACACCCAGTGTTTGTAAAGAAAATAAAGACCCAGCAGCTGAAAGTTCCCCAAGGAGAGGAGGAGCCCCCTCCCCAGGTCGTGGAACACTCTGTGCTCTGCCCCTATACTCAGGCTGAGCTGGTGGATTTGGGCTCCCGGTTTAAGCAGAAGCCCTTGGAGTCAATATCAGCTTGGCTCCTGCATCTGTGGGACTTGGGGGTGGATGGAATTGTCCTGTCGGGATCAGAGATGGGAAAACTGTCTTCCCTGACAGTGCAGCCTGCCTTGGGGCAGCAATTACAAAATGCACATCAGACCCCAGGGAGTCACTCCTTCCTCGCTTGGCTTATGGCTGCACTTCATGCTCGGTGGCCCAATCCGGGTGATCTACCATCCTCTCCTGTTAGATGGCAGACATATACTGAACTCCAAAAGGTGTTACAAATGCTAGGCATAAGAAGTGCCATCTGTAGTCCAGAGAATTATGGCCCAGATGAAGAGATTTGCACTACTGGGATGAGAAATATTGTACTTCAAATGGCTCCTACATCCCTCTTTGGGTCTCTAGTGGCCATTCTTTTCCCTCACTTAGGGCATCCCATAAGCGAGGTGACACGTACAGTAGCAGACTTAGGAGAGGCTGAAGCAATGAGAATCTGGACTAAAGTCAGATACAAATAGTCTGTGGATGGTCAGTCCACTTATGGACCGTGCTACGGCGTTTGAATAAGAGATCCTGAAAGGGAGCCCTGAGCCCCGTAGACATGCTAACACAAATGGCTGCCTCCCTGTACAACTGCAAGTACATACCAAGGGAGAATCACTGAAGCTGAGGTTCAGCCACCAGAATAACATCTTGCTGCCAGCACCAACTGCACTGAACCCCGGAGACTCCATTGAGTGGACGTGGCCTCGGACCTTTCGACACATGGACCAATGATGGCTGGCTCTCCTGGTACCTTGGGGACAAGGCCTGGAAGCTGGCCTCCTGTGTATTCCTGGAATAGCAGTAGAGAGGCCACCAAAGGTCACAGTAGTGTATCCTGAAAGGCCAGAAAGAAGGAGCATCTTAACAGGGAGTTTTGTTTTATCATTATGACCAGTGCATGTGCCTCCAGTAGCACTATATATAGACCGTTCAGTAACCCCCATGGGGAAAGGAGTAAAAGTATGGTATACTAGACCTGGAAGGGACCCCCTTCCTTTTATAGTCCTATCACAGGACCACTCTTTTGCATGCATCCTACTTGAGAGAAAAGATTTGCTTATATTGGTGTCATTAAAACATATGTCTTATCACCCCTAAAGTCTTTGAAGATTGGGAACTTCCTCTGGCTTGAGAATTATTATATGTTTTGTTATTAGGAACCTCCTCTGGCTTGAGGATTGTTATAATTTTTGTTACCTATATCAAAATCTTGCTGTATCTTAATTTTTATTATCTCTAAGTTGTTGTTATCCTCTGTTGCTATTGTGGAATCTGGTTACAGTGCTCCAGCTTTCTCGCACAGGGACCATTGCGGAAGATTGAAAGCGTGTAGATTGTAAGGCGAGAATCCTGGAGGGGTGGAGTGTGGGGAAGTTGGGGTTCCTATGGCCGGGATCCTCACTGAACTGGAACCAGCTGTTTATGTAACTGGCCTGTTGCTAGACTACCACTTCACACGTTTAGGCAATAAGCTATTATTGCGCTATATAGAGAGCTTGGCCCAGTGCTCTGGACCGAGGCAGAGACGCTAGTGCTCGACCTACTCCACTGGAGAACAAGCTGGGTAATAAACCCTTTCACCCCAAAGAATGTTTTGCTGTCAATTTCTTTGGTCACATTGAATCCATAGTGAACTTGCCCGGGGCTAAAACCCATTGGCAAGACATATGTCCATCAGGTCTTTATCAAGGTGATCTATATATCAAGAGATTTATTGCAAAGAATTGGCTTATGTGACTGGGGGCGCTGGCTAGGAAACAGATACACAGGTCTGAAATCCATAGGACAGGCTATTGGGAAGGGTAGGGTGCAACTCTCAGGCATGAGATGGAGCTACAGTCCACAGGTGAAATGTCTTCTTCTCAGGGACACCTCAGTTCTCTCACAGCATTTCAATGGACCAAGTATGTAGGATAATCACCTTTACTTAAGGTAAAAGACTGAAGTGCTTTAATCATGTCTACAAATACCTTCACAGCAACATCTGACTTAGTGTTTGCTTGAATAATTGAAGCCTATAGCCTAGCAAAGCTGACACATAAAACTGACCATCACAGATGGTAAAGAAAGTATATGGGTGGTGGTGGAAGGGAGGGGTTTGGGAGTGTAAAAGAAAGTAATTGGATAAAAGGTTATACTCCATCAAAGTGGGATATGGACCAAACAAGCTCAAGAACTCCTCTGCTAAAACAAATACAGTTAATGTGACATAATTATTCCCTATAATTTCTAAGAAGCCAGGATCCATTTCTCCAACAACTGGCAATTACGTTTCTGCATGCATTTAAGGTGACATGATCTTAAAGCCCGGGAACACTTCTGCCTGTAACGGTGGATCACCCTTCCCTTCCCTCCTCCTTGCAACTTGACTTGTACCTACGATTTACTTTTCTAATTCATCCCTTGTTTGTCTGTCAAGGAAAATGGTTTGTTACATTAATATAGATCTTATGTTTTTCAGTTATGAATAGCTTTTCAAGGCTTAATGTAGCTTCTGAAAATTCCCTTATAACTGATCTAGGTATTATCACTATAGGAGTTAAAGTCATGAGGCAATTTTATGGGGATAATTTCTTGGCATAGTGAGATTTTGTGCTGAAATCCTGCTGTGTGCTACATACGTTGATGGATGGCCAACTGTTTAATAGGACATTTTAGTGTTCATGTATGTGAGAAATGGATGTGCTAATTAGAGCCTTAGAAGGAAATTCTGCTTTATGTTTTAGGGCTTTGCATATGGACTATCCCTTCTTCTGTCATTTTTCTATGGCCTTTTTAAATGTGTTTGCTAAATAACTGAAAGTGTCAATGTAAAAATGTTATGGTGTCCTATGAAAATGCTTCCAAGGGATCTGAACTGAATTAGTAAGAATAACAAGGAAGATAGAGTAACTTCTCAGTGGCTTGCCATGATTTTGCAAAATCCCAAATCAGTAGTCTGACACTGTGCCCTGAGGCCTAGGTCTGCCTGAAGATGTTTTCATATGGTCTGCATAGGGTGATAATATATTTTTAAGTTTACATGTTTATTGTAGGTGGGTCATATCTGGTCTGGTAATCTGCAGTTACTACCACTCCATATTACTGCACACCTGGCTACTTCAAATATTTGTTACCTGCTTAGTCTTTAAAGTTAGTTGAGGTTTTAGTGAAACCTACTGATAGGTAAAGACAAAAAAGTGTGCATATGTACCTTAGCACCTTCAGGAAACTTAGGTTCTAGCTGAGACTTTAAGATCAACCGTGGAAACCATTGCTACCATACAGTCTATAAATAAGAATTTATGATATAGATGATACATATATGAATTTGTGATATATGCTTTGTGATCCCACTCACTCAGCCTGTCTATCTCTCTCATTCTCTCATTCTGGCAGGAGATCGGAAGACAAAGGCATTTTGGATGTGGAAGGCAAGTCAGGGTGAGGCTAATGCTGAGGAGGACCCTGCCAGTTTTTCCTCACAATCTGAGCGTAACTGAGAAGCGAGGGGGAGGAAGGGTGAGCAGAGTGAGAGAACAGAGAAAAACTAAGGCCAGAGAAAAACACAGAATCCAAAAGCATCAGGGAAGATTCAGGAATTGCTGAGTCTTTAGATGGACAGGAAGGAAAGGACATGGGGGTAGGTTTGTAGACAAAGGTAAGCAGAAATAATCAAGTGATATTTTCATAAGCCAGTGAGACCATAGGTGACAGCAAGTTAGGAGGCAGTAGAAAATGGGGTTTGCTGGGGTAGATGAGGCCAGTTTGGGCCAGACAGGTAAACGAGATAGTATTTATGGAAGCCCTGATGGCTGCCAGGTGAGTATGAGTTCATGAGTGACTCTCTGGTGCTTTCATCATTGTTTTATAGGTAAGGAAGCAAAGGTACAGACAATTCAAATGTTCAAGTTCTTAACAAGGATTAAGAGTTACGATTTAAACCCATATCATCTGAAACCACATCTAGTGCTCTTCCCATGGATCAAGTGATGACTTTTTACTTGAGAAAAACCACTGAAGCCTTTGAGCAGAACATAATATGGTGAACGTGGCAGAGAGAAGGAAGAGAGAGAGTCAGGAGACCATAATATTGCCGTAGTGGATTGGTGTTCTTTCTAGATCCATCCCCAGAGTCTGTGGTCATTAGCTCCAACAAAATTCTAGTGCATTTATTTTATCCTTCTAACATAAATATACATCCTTTATACTCATATCACTAGAAAGTATTAAACCTTCTTGTACCCTCACATAATGAACGAATAATTGGCTTTTTGATAACATGGACCAAGTTTATCTACCACATGGATGGAATTATGTTTCTGCAGGTGTTGTTTGGTGGGTTTTGTTTTTGAGGTCTGATTGGTGTAGTTGCTCCTGCCCAGTTTCTCGGGGTAAAAAGGTGTAAAATAATAATACATATGAAATAATTTTCTTATTGCAAATTTAGGTTTGGATGGAGCCAGCCAACTGAATTATTCTGAAACTCTATCTTATGCTGAAGACAACTCCATCTCTACCCACTTGCAGTCCCCGTGTAAGGTGGGGGATCCTGGGCACCACGGTGCCTCTCCCCAAGAGACCAGTGTGGTCCCCAGTCTCAGTCACCAAACCACAGCGCGCAGCTTGGAGACGAAGACAGCTTTTATAACCAGGGATTTGAAGATTCTTATGCCACCGACAGCTCCTGCATGTGGAGTCCAGAGGCAAGTTTTTTTGCTTTCCGTTCTTTCCTTGTTTGTGTTGTGTGCTCTCTGGCTAGTTCTGGCTCCCCTATCCCTTCCCCACTCACCCTCCCTTGTCCCTCAAGAAAATGTTTCTCCAAAAAGGAAACACTGCCTTGAAAACCAAAGATCTTTATGTAAAGGAGTTTTTAATTCTTTAGAGAGATGTTATGTCCTGCATGGTTTTAATTAAGTGAAGTCTATTTTTATTCACCCCAAATCTTGAGTTATGATTATTGGGATATAAGAATTATTTGAAAATTGAACTAAAATACAATGGTTCTTCAAATGCAGTTACACAAGATATTTTGATGAAGATCTTGCATCAAGTTGAGTATATTTGTTATCATTGAGTTGAATTGAAATTCTAGGAGACAGCATTAGTCTGTAATGACCCTCTGGCCATTGACTTTGCTTTTTAGAATACATCTCTGGTATAAGATGCTTCTTCTAAATTTCTTTTTCAATTTAAACTACAGAATATGCCTAACCATCCAGAGTTATGCTAGAGGTGATGATAATAAAGCTACCATTTGTTGAGCAATCACTATGTGCCAGGCACTGTGGTAAGGATTTTACAAACATTGTTTTATCTTACAGGCATTTATTTATTTATTATCTAGATCTCTCCTATTATGATTCTGTGACATTAGGAGATGTTATATAGTGGTATGTAATATATGTGTTGAAATTAGTTTGATGAAGTAAGTCCTATAAGTATATAAAACTTTAATATACTTTGTGGGGCTAGAGGAAGGAGGATGGATGGATTTTGTTACCATCAGTTTGACTGAGAAAATAAATGGGAGGGATTTCTCGTTAGGACCTGAACTGTCATGTACACTGGATGCCCATCAAGGAGAAGAAAAAAAAATCACAGAAAATTGTATTCCCAAACCTTACTGCTCACACACTGGGGTGTGCAGAGAGAGGATCAGGTGGGGGGCACATGTGCAAACCTGCCCATGTGTTGGCATCACTGCTGAGGACCAGAGACAGTAATTCAGGTACATAGTTCATGGCTTGTTAAAAACATCCTTCATATACAGACACCCAAAGCTATTAACCTTGTAAGTTTTGTAAAAGAATTCTGCTTCCCTGTTGGTTTACTGCTAAGATTCGTATCCAATCCACACAATAATATTTAACACTTAAAAATACTCTTTTTGGCTCTCTCACCACAAAAACAAAACAGAAGTGTTACCTGCCTATTGATACTCTGCTCCCTTGATAACTGTACCCTTAGGCTTGGAATTGCTCTTGCCAGCTGACCTCCCATCTGCCTGCCTCATGGAGCTTTAACAGAAGACTGGTGTTGAGGGCACTAGATGTTCTCAGACTCCAAAAATGCCCAGATAGCTCTGTGTGCTCCATTCAACACCCTATTTTGAGACAAAAACTGTAATTTGGTGCTTCTGCAGGAGAACCTTAAATGCAGCTTAGAGGCAGTTCCTCCAACGGCCTGCTTCATAGGCTTAGCTCGCCCCTTAAGAATTGATTTATTTGCCTCTTAGCTGTATTAAGAACCCTGTCTTCCCCCGTGTATCTGGCGTTGGGAACATACTGCAGGTCTGTTTACTTTGGAACACACAAATGACATCAACACTGTCTTACTAAAGCAGAAAGGCTTTCAAGTCGATAGAAAAAATCTTTCAACCTCTATGGGTTTTGATAGTGCAGCACAAGATTCCCATCTTAAAGAAGAACCCAGGATATTAGAGCTCAAGGAATCGTTTGTTTTGCCTCAGAAGGAAACCAGTCATGCCTTGTGACTACCTGTTAGGCTGATGGATTTTCAAGCGCTGCTCCTCTCTGCTGGAAAAAGCCATCAGCTTCTTCCTGCAGACCCAAGCTTAGCAGGGAAGACAATGGAAGGAGTGTGGCTGGAGATTTTGAGCACACAGGGAGGCAGGTGGCCCACTTTTCATCTCTGCTTTCCACTGATTAACTAGTTGGCCTTGAGAAGTTAATTAAAATCTGCCAAATGGGGATAGAAACGAAGAGATTTTTACCTTGCAGGAAGGTCAGATGGATTAGTGGTATTAGCAGTACCCACATGAGGAGTGCCTCTGGTTGCCTGGTGATAGGTAAAGTGTGCTGAAATAATTAACTGCTGTGAAAATATCAGCCTTCACAAATCTTCCTCTCAAGTCAACCCAGGAAGAGACCATGAAGCCCAGTTTTCATGGGACACAGTTTGAGTTTCCCCCATTCAGGGCCTGGCCATTGCCTGGAGCTGTGTCTTATTCAGGCTTCTGGGTTATTAAGGAGCCTTCTCTAGGGCTTTACCACAAACCTGCAGGTGAAGTGAGCAATTATCTGAATAGATGGCCTGATAGATAAGCAGAGAGATACTCATTAATTAAGACAATTTTTGCTTGGCATTGAACTGATGACAACACTAGGAAATATTAACTAGTATTAAAGGCAAGGACCTAAAAGGATTTGAAATTCCTAGTGTATGTTTCCAGTTCCCATCTCCCATTTTATTCCCTCTTCATCACATACTTACTATACATATATAACTATGGTGAAAGGTTTGGGGAGAAGAAGGGAGATGTCATGGTTCAACATAAGGTGTGAGACTTTGAGCATTAATACTGGTAAATCCTGGACAGTCCTGGCTGGACATAGGATATTGAAAGCAGGGAGTCAGTTATTTAGCTTTTCAGAGCCTCTCCCATAAAATGAAGATATTATAATACCTACCTTGTTGGGTCAATGTGAATATTTTTAAAAGATAATGTTTCTTAGCTGGATGTCTCCAAAAAACAGAGCCTACTTTGTCAGCATGTGCAATCCCAGGGAAGAAGAACGAGGGACAAGGGGAGTGCGGCAGGAGAGAAGACGTAGCCAGTGTGAGAAGGCATGATCGAGTTGGCCATGGTTAAGTGTGGCTCCTGGCTTCATCTGTGGGACCATCTTGGGAAGCTGTGTATACTACTTGAGGACATCTTGGGGAGAAAAGTTCACTGCATGGGGCATTAATCCACCACACACTCTGGACTTTATATACATGAGTGCCAAGCAGCATTCAGTAACCTTCCAAGCCTTGACATCAGTGGAGAGATCTGTGGTGGGAACTGAGAGTCACACTGCCTAGGCAGGAGGTAAGACTTGGTTGGGTTGTGCCAGGCGGTACCTGTGAGGGAGATGGAGGAAGAGGTGAGGCCAGGAAGGTCTGAAGTGTGTAAGAGTGGGCTTTTACAGTCTTTGAAGGGTTCAGTATGGTACCTGGCATAAAGGAGGACTTCATAGATGTTAGCCATTATTATTACTTTTGGACCAGTGAGCAACATACAGATGATCAAGGGTAGTCTGAAATAGGTGGGAGTTTTAACTGAAGACCGTGACTTGGTTTTTGAGTTGGCCTAACTCCTTGGAGACTTGCTTCTAATATTATATCTACACTAGTCAGTTGTATTCAGAAGTCTCTATAGCAACCACTTTTATCACTTGAAACTAAGTCTCTCTGAATAGAAACACACAGGAACGCAAGCTCAGAGGGAAGGATGTAAGGAGCTTCCCTTATTTTGCAAGAAGCTTAAATCTTCTTGGTAGACTAATGTGAATCTTCAGAGAGAGGGCATTTATCAGATGTCTGTCATGTGTCAAGCCTTGCCTTTTCACAACAACCCTATGAAGTACGTACCATCCCCATTTTGCTATTGAGGAAAATAGAAAGTGGGAAGGAGTAAATAACTGGCCCAATATCATAGACGTGGCCAGTGTTAGCGTGGAAATTCCTGAGGGTGTCTCTTCCCAGAGCACCGCACACAATTTCACCTGAACTCTGCAAAAGTTTTGTCAATGAATGTGCACCTTTGAGGCATTTTTTAATTCTATTTTTTAAAATAAGTTTAAATTGGCAAAGTTTGATTTGCAATTATATAAATAACTGATTATATCTTATAATAAGAATCAAAACAGTTTAGTTTTGGGTAAGAATCATGCCTTTAGAGGAAAAATCAAATTATATTGAAATTCCTTATAGTGTTTTGGAAGGTAGTTCATTACAGTAAATGCAGTTCAGTTCATTTTCCTCAGTGAGGTCATCAGATCTGCCTGACTACAGATGAATTGCTATCTGAGCATAATATTTCAAGATAAAGGGGGGACATGTTTGAAAATAGTTAACACCAGTCCAGTCAGTGATGGGAATAGATATTTATGGAGTCTGTTCTGAGCCAGGTGTTTTTCTACATCTATTTAAACCTCACAACAGTACTCCATCAAGGAGGCATCTTAATGCTCATTTTTCAACTGGAGAAGATGGTCTATTTGTCCTGGGTCAAAAAGCTGATCAATGGTAGAGTTATGATTTCAACTCAGATGTTCTGTCCCCAGGTCCAGCACTGCTATTTGCTAAATGGCTGCTGGGTCTGCCTTCCTAGACCCTTGCTACTCAAAGAGTGATTTGAGGCCATCTGTAACATCCTTGCAACTGTCTGAAAAATGCACAATTTTAGACCCCACCCCAGTCCTACTGAATCAGAATCCCAGGGTGATTCAAGTCCACATGCAGATAGCAAATCTACCAAAGGATCACCTGCCTATGGCCCCTGTTTGGATTATTGTCCACAGGATGTCCTGGCCCATAGTAGAGCACCTACCAAGGCTTAGCCATTTCTCGTGGAGAATCCAGGAAAAGTTACCTCTTGGTAGTTGCATAGCTGGCTAATTTTAGACTTAGTGTCTCAGTTTGTTTCAATGATAGTGGCCAGTTGTGTTTTTGAAGAAGTGTATATGAAAACACCTCACAAAATAGATAAGCTTTGTTCATTCATTCCAAAGGCATTCATGAAGACTTACCATAATCCAGACACTGTACCTTAAAAGAAGTCAGAATCTAATGTGATAAGCTAGTAAACAGTCCTTTCTAATGTATATGGATATGTGGTAGCACTCAAAAAGTATGAGGTTCTGAAGGAACACAGTGTGGTACCATCTTACCAAAATGCAATTGGGCATCATCACTTCCATTCCTAATCCTTTCCTCTGTCTGCAACAGGAACAGGATTGGGCCAATTTTCAGGTGCCATCTGGTGTCCTGAAGCCCATTTCCAAATGTGGTGACCTGGATGTCATCTTTGAATACAGAGCTGCCAGCCAGAAGCTCACAGTAACCATTGTGAGAGCACAGGGCCTCCCAGATAAAGACTGAAGTGGTGTCAACTCCTGGCAAGTTCACGCAGTGCTGCTGCTCAGTAAGAAACAGAGGGGCAGGACAAGCATATAGAGAGGACCCTACCCCTTCTTCAAGGAGAAGGTCACCTTTACCAGGTTGGAGTCCAGAGACGTGGCTGCCTGTGCCACCTGCTTCCGCCTGTATGCTGCCTGCAAGATGACCCACGAGAGAATGATGGGGGAGAAGCTGTTCTGCCTCAGCCACCTGTACCAGAAGGGGAAATGAAAGTGACTCTGGTTCTCGAGCCAAGAAGTAATGTCAATGTGAGTAGGTTAAATGGTGCTGCTAATGCCGCGGTGTGTTCGAGGACCTGGGATTGTCAGCTTTTAATTTAGTACATTCAGCTTGTGAATTCAAACACCTTAATTTAATTTTCCATTTGGCTCTCCTCATCCTTACAAGCCGTGATCTGTACTTCACGGTACAATGGGTTTTTCTTCTTCCCTATAACCTGATGGATGTATTCCTTGTTCATTTTTGGAAATGAAAGCAGCAGTGCAATGGAGGGCTTGGCCTTCCGATTAACTGTTAAGTGATCCTATCAGCTCCCCTGCCCTGTCACCAATATGCATTATGAAGATTCTCAAAGATGGCATGTTGAAGGTGGGGTCCTTAGTGGGTGTGCTTGAGTGGGCTTCAACAGCAGCCCTGAGCTCCACAGGGTCTGACCAGCTCTTCCTGGGTACCCCATTCTCTGCATCCCCCTGGGGTTTCAAGGAAAGATGACACCCTTGTTTATCTACTAGATGGGCAACCCACAATTGCCATGGGTGACATGTCACCTGGTGTGATGATCATCTTTAAAAAAACATGCAAAAATCAGGTATCTATCACGGGCCACTGGGCCAGTCAGTCAACCATTCAGGAAAGTTTACTGAGTGCTTCTTATATGTCAGTTACTGTACAGCCAAATGGGATGCAGGGGGATGTGTCCACCCCAGGGAGCTTACAGCCTGGGGGAGGAGGGCGGCAGTGGCGTACCAGTGAGGCAAGGGGAGGGAGAATGACAGAGGCTGCTGCTCGGTTAGAAGGTTTGGAGAAAGTTTCTTTGAGTTGGTGATAAGACACAGACTCAAGGCATCAAGAGATCAAGACTGGTGGCACGTGGAGGACAAGGACTCCAGCCAGAGGGAGTGGCACCAGCAGACACAGGAGGTGGGCCTGAGCGTGTAGTTCTGATGGGGAGGAAAGGGGCCAAAAAGGCCAGAGTGCAATGGTGGGAGACCCAGCCACTTAACTTTTTGATACATGTCTCAAGATTAGTAGCTCCAGATTCAAAATCCTGATTTTTGCCTTCCTATCTGCAGTCTTCCCATCTTGGATAAAGGCAGTCTCATCCTTTAGTTGCTCCTGAAAAATCTTTTTAAGTCATTTGTGCCTTCTCCCCTTTCCACTGAAATCCTATCAGCTCTGCTTCAAAAGACTCCCAGAATGTGACTCTGCCAAATCACTGAAACAGCCTCCCTGTGGTCTCTCTGCTTCTGCCTTTGCCCCCTCACAGACCATCCCCAACATGGGGGCCCAAATGAGCCCTTTAAAATGTAAGCCAGATCTTGTCTGATTGCTGCTCAAATCCCCCTTTTTTTCTCAAGTTTTGAGTAACGTATATCTGAAATCATGGAAAACAGAAACTACAGGAGGTCAAAAGGAATCTGCACAATAAAGTATGAGAATAGCTGTGATCACACCCATTTCTCTGTGCCTGGTCCTGTGCTATGTGCTGGGAGCACAGAGCTGAGTAGGGAAACTGAGCCAGTGTGAAACGACTTTGTAAGTAAAAATTCTTCCATCCACCAGGTATTTGTTGAGCAGAATTATATGCAGGCATTGGGCTATGCACTTAGACTGAGTGATTTAAAAGGATTCAGCATTTGATGGGAATAGCATGCTAAGCAGTAATAGTTGCCACAGAAGATGCTTCTGTAGAAGTGCAGGGGAGGAGGTGATCCTCACCCAAAACCAAGCAGATATTTCATTGTTGTACTGTCATCACCCAGATAGCAGTGGCTCTAAGCCACCTATCAAAACCAACTAGTCTTATATTTTACAAAGTGTATTCCATCAAGGTCCTAAGCTCCACAGAGATGTCCACAGCTTGGTAAACAGGATACTTTCCTACAGAAGTGAAGAATATTTCATTCCTTTTAATACATTTATATATTGGGGTTCCTGGTAAGAGATTTTAGGAAATGATTTCAGAGGTTGAGAGGAAAGGTTTGGACAAAGTCTGATGTACTTCTTTCTGGTGGTGTAGGTGGTGGCTCTGGGAGGCTGGCCGGCCAATTCCTTCTAGAGCTTCTTGAATGAGAGTCAACATCCTGATCTATTCTATCCTCCTCGTCCTAATGTGTCTAGTATATTAAGGTAGGTGCTCTGGAGAAGCACGTGTGTGAATAAATATAACAATGTGTGTCTCTTCCCTGCTCAGCTGGTGCCTGCAAGGTCTCTGAGATCCATAGTCCATGCATCAGCTTCCTTATCAAATAGCTGTAAAAGTACTCATTTTCAATGTGCTTGATTTCCTTAGGAGGAAAAATGTAGCATCTGGCATACTCTTAACAACCCTATAAAGCAGAGCTAGGGGCCAAATGTTCTATACGGTAGTAGATGGCTAGTGGCCCTGTCTTTTCTAGTGAGGACACAATGCCTCCTGTATGGCTGCATTCATCAAGAAGCTGGCTGCAGAGAACAAAAACACAGCTCATGCCTGGAGTGGATGGGGATTCCATAGAAACATTTGAGCACAAATTACACAGGAGGGAAATTTGGTCTATATTAAATGTATTATTAGCTCTCCATGTTTCTTAGAGGGTTTGATTTACGCTAGTAATAACATCTTTGTCTGTTTCATCTTAGGAAATACTGAACGGAGACAACTCTTGAAACAAATATGTCAGCTAGTAATGCAGGGGTTCTCATCCATGACTGCGCTCCACAGGCCCATTATCATTCACACCAAGTGCGCTGTTAGTAATCTTTGGCAGCCATTGAGATTGGGCCACAATTTCACCAAACACAACGTCGGCTTTTGTCAGGGAGAGTAGTGCAGTGTGGGCCAATGGATTCTTTGTTTTGTTCCCCTCCAGAGTGGAGAGTCTCAGCTCAGCCCATCTGCAGTCTCTCACAGTCACAGTGCTTCACCCACACAGTCACTGGCTTATGGAGGGGCGCCAGAGCTGTTGGTGGGCCTGTCGTACGGTGCCACAATTGGGCGATTATCTATGGAAATGATCAAAGGCAGCCATTTCTGAAACCTCGCTGTTAACGGAGTGCCTGGTAAGTTGATGTCTGTACCCCAACTCTCATTCTTCCAGGGGCAAGTAGGAGGCTGTGTCTGCTTTCATGTTAATTCTTTAACTTTTATAATAAAAATGATCTTGGTGTGACTGAGACAAGTTTTTATAAAATGATACTTCTGGATTTTTAAAGTACCTTTCTGTTTAATTAGATTGAAGACTACTTCAATACCTGGATGCATCCTGATGCAGAATTGGCTGGCCACTACATGTATATTGTTAAAAGGAAAAGAATAATGTCTTTTCAGGAACACAGTGTGTATGGGCAATTAAAATCTGCTAATAGATCCCAGCCCCTTTAAAGAGGGAGAACATAGGCATTGGGGTGAGGCCGATCTGGGATCAAATTCCATCTTCACCTGCTTACCCACTAGCTTTGCTGTGAACCTGTACAATTTACCTTTCTTTTATGAATCTCAGTAGATTCATCTGGGATAAAGGGATATTAATAGTACCTTCTTCATGAGGTATTTTGGGGGTTTAAATAAAATGATTTATGGAAAGCATTTAGCATAATGCCTAACACTTAGTGAGCATACAAGGAATGTATAAGAAATGGAGGAGGAAAAGCTGTGGCTGGACTTACCCGGGGAGCCAGCACTCTGGGATCACCACTAGAAAGGGGCCCAAGACACACTCCCAGAGCTGCAGTCCAAAGGTTCAGGAAGCAAGAATAAAAATGCTGTGGCTACCAACTGCTTGAATCACTTCTTAATGCCCAAGAAGTCTGAGATTGAGCATTGGAATAAGGCTGCTAACAAATTAGCTCACCTGTAGTGATCTTGCCTGTCAGCAAAGACAGCTTTAAAAGGGTCAGGAAGATGGTGTCTGCCTCACTTCTACCTTCTGAATCCCATGTAAGTACATCTAATCAGAGGAACCTAATTTTTATCTAGAATTCTAGCTGCAAGAGAGTCTGAAAAATGTTGTTGAATGTCTAGCCTTTCAAGTACAGGAAGGTAAACCAGAAGTGGATAGAGTGGAGGGCAAGTGCGCCTGTCCACCACAAGCTCCCAGATCTTACGGAAATAAAGATGCAGCCAGAAGCAATGCAGTAGGCTGAGAGTGTCAATGGGGTCAGCAGCAGGTGAAAAGCCAGCTGAGCTGGTAGAGAAAAGTCAGAACAGTCCCCAAATCTGGGCTCTTAGTCTTTCACTGTGCTGCAGCTCACAAAGTCTCTGTTTGGTGGTCACTTGTTAGTCACTTGGGGTTAGAGCCACTGGAGCAAGTTAGCAAGGAAAGCTGAGCACTGTGGGTAACAGGAGAAGCCAGGTGCACGAGCCGTGTTCTCTGCCAATGCTCAGGACCAGGTTGAGAGCTATTTAAAATGCATAATAGGTGCTGATTATTAATTGTGCAGATAGAGTCTCTTTGCTAGATGCAGCTTTGTTTTTTAAACTAGCTCTGCATTTACTAAAGATCTAGATTTACTGCTTTCAGAGCTTTTGCCAGCCCCTTTGCCCTGTCCTCCTGAGATGCAAGGAGATCTGACCAATTTTCTGGGAAGAACATGGTGGAGCTGCAGAGAATGATGGGGAAGTGGACCACACAGTCCTGACCTATTCCAGTCCAAGCTGGGGAGCTTTAATCTGTGTGCTGGGTGGTAGCAGGCAATGCAGGAGAGAAGGATGGTGTAGTGAATAAGAAAGCATCAGCTGGAGGCTGACCAACTGAAGTGTGAATTCAAGCTCTGCCACATACTAGCTATGAGTTACTAATCTTTTCTGGATCTCAGTTTCCTCCTCTATAAAATGGAGTCATAATAATGCCTAAGTTCAGGTTGGGATACCATATATAAAGCTAAGGATGGTACTAATGTATCTTTACACATTTCTATATAAGAGAAAATATACCAAAGAGGAAATTCTTGGAACAAATATGTAAACCTAGGATTGAATAAATCTAATATTGAATAGAAAAAAGTCCTACTTAAGAAATTGATTTTATTCCAGAAGTTTAAATCAATTTGGCATTTACTACATGATTTTTCATAGACATAAGTGTTGCGATTTAATTTAAATGTAACTGACAGGCCGTATCTTTGCAACCAAGGTAATAGAAGACAATGTTGCTATGCTGCTCTTCATTAAACCAGAAGCCCAGCAGTGAAGACAAAAGTTTTTTGTTTATGTAGAAGGCTGATCCTTTAGGAACAGCCAGTTAAATTAGGAGGGTTTGAGAAAATAGAAGGTTCCTTTGTGGAGATTCTAAAAGGGACCTTGAGGTACTTTGAAGGGCTTTAGAGGTTGACAGCATGAGTTCTTCGTTGTCTCACTTTGTGATGCCATGAGCCCGGCTTTGACTTAGCAGGCAAGCTTAGGATACACTTTTAGTTTCCACATGGAAGAGAATGAGAGAGAAAGGATGAGGGCCAGAGGCTTGCTTCAGCGTCCGCCAGGAGGGAGCCACCCACCGGGGGAGAGGCTCCTGCAGGAACCTGTGTGTGCGAGGGTCAGAGAGCCTGGGCTTGAGACTCTTGGCTCAGGTATAGTTCCCACCTCTGTAAAGAGGGGCCATCAGTCCCACCTTCACAGGGTCATGTGAAGAATGGTCCTTAGGGAAGCCCAAAGGAAAAAAGGTTGAACTTGAATACTGGGAATTTATCTTCTCAAAAATATTGAAGGTTCTAAATATTGCTAGAAACAGAGAGGCTGCAGATTAGAAGTGAGACTCTTTTGCCTCAAAAGATATCATGAAACAAAAGATAACTTTGAACTTGTCAATTTGATCCAGTCAGATGACTATTCTGAAGCTTTAAACTTTTCTTCCCAAGCAAGATAGAGGAGAGCTAGACAAATAGTAGATGAAGTTCCTATCCTCAGTTGGAGTCTTAGAAGAAAAAAGCCACCAAAACGTAAGCTTCTCTCCCCAAACTTCTGAGGTAAATCCTTGGGAGAGAGAGGGTTCTGTGAGAGGCAGTTTTGCTCTGATGGGCAGGAGCTGGTGGAAGCCTTCTTAGGGATATGAGTCTCCATGACATGCCACAGAATGGCTAAAACTAAAAAGGCTGATCCCACCAAATGTTGGTGAGGATGTGAACAGTATGTGGGAGAAGTGTAAAATGGAACACCCACTTTGGAGAAATGCCTGGCAATCTCTTATACAACAAAAAAAGAACATGCACTTAAATATGGTAGTTTATTCTTTAACATGTACCCATAAGTCCCCCCAAAAAAAAAAAGCCCTGCACAAGAACATTCAGAGCTGCTTTATTCATAATGGAAAAAATTACCAAGAGCCCTTATGTCTCATGAATTAAAAAACTAATTAAGATATTTTTCTATAGTGGAATACTATTCAGCAAAAAAAGAGGAATGGAATTAATTGAGGCATTCAACAACATGGATGAACCTCCAAACATACTGATATACCTACTCCATGATTCCATTTGTATCAAGTTCTAAAATAGGTAAAACTCATCTATACTGGGGAAAAAAAAAACAGAAGAGGGTTGCCTCAGGTTTGGTATTGATGTCAGGATGGACTGAGCAGGGACATGAGTATTCTGGGGACATATTCTATATTTTGATAAGAGTGTGAATTAAATGGATGTTTGCCTTTGTCAAAATTTACAAATGTTACTAGGTTTCGTGCATTTCACCTTATGTGAACTTTACCTTAAAATGGACAAGAATAATAAAAAATTGAACTCTAGTTAATGAAATGCATGCTGAAATGCTTAGGCATGAAGACCAATGATGACTACAGTTAAGATGGATTGATGGACAGATAGATGCATAGATATGTGAGAAAGCAAACTCTGCTCAGGCTACAACAAAAATACCATAGACTGGGCGGCTTAAACCACAGATATTCATTTCTCACAGTTCTGGAGGCTGGGAGGTCCAAGATCAAGGTGGCAGTTGATTGGATTCCTGGTGAGAACCCTCTGGTTTGCAGACAGACACCTTGCTGTGTCCTCACATGTGGAAGAGAAATCATCTCTCTCATGTTTCTTCTTATAAGCACACTAATCCCATTCATGAGGGGTGCCCTCATGACCCAGTTACCTCCCAAAGGTCTCTCATCCAAATACCATCACATTGGGAATCAGGGCTTTAATATATGAATTTGGGGAGGATACATACATTCAGTCCATGACAGGAATGGAGCAAAATATAACAACTGAAGAATCTAGGTAATGGGTATATGGGTTTCTGCTGTATAATTTTACTTCAAGAAATTCTTTCCTCACCCCTCTTTTTCTTTCTTTCAGCTTTATGGTGAAAATGTCTATGGTAAAAATCACTGTGTCTTTTCCAATCATAGGTGGGCTAGGAAAGATAAAATAGGCTACTTGAAAATTACTGAAACTAGCCCAAATAACCTATTCAAAAACAACACATCAGTGAGGTAACAGCATGAACTGATTTTAGCCCAAGTCAGTAACAATGTGCCAAGCATCATTTCAGGCACTTTCAAGGAAATAGTTCATTTTCCGTGGTCAGTGTTCAAAAATATTGTTGTCATTGTTATTGTTAAGATGGTACAAACTGGTTTACAAATCTGCTGGCAAGGGAGAGTCTCCATATCTGTACATGGCGGATGCTCCAGGGGAAAAAGCAGCTTATACTGTGTGTGGACATCTGAAATCCTGATAAACATTTAAAAATGCTTTTGAGAAAGTTATCATCGGGAATTAGAAACATTTGATTATTTTTCAAATTTGGTTTCATGAGAAAGCACTTCACAAACAATTTAGCAGCTCTGTTCTGTTGTTTTCCTGGGCCTGTCTCCCAGTTACTGCACGGCCTCCACATTTGATTTAACCACTCGAATCTCATTTCCCTCCCTATTAAATGAGGTTAACAAGCTAATGTTACCCATACAAGTGCTATGTTAAAAAAAATTAGCCCTTCTGTTGGCACGTTCCCTTTCTCTATCTCCATCTCCACTATGTCTTCTTCGGCAGTGAGCTACTGCACTGTGTATATGTGTGTATGTACACACATGTAATAGTCCTCGTCAAAAACTACCATT